TACTTTGAGTGAATTGGATGGGTGGATTGATATATGGGTCAGGTGAGATGAATGGATGTTAGGTGTGTAGGTGGGTGGATTGGTCGGTGGATGGAGGATGCGAAGGATGGAAGGATGGAAGGATGGAAGGATGGAAGGATGAAAGGATGGAAGGATGGAAGGACAAATCGTGAAAGTCCACTGATGATATCACAAGAAAATAACGATATTCGCATGCTTTCCAGAATAAAGATGAAAAATCATACGACCTCAAGCTTCTCTCAGGACCAAGCTTATGTTCCAATGATAACAATATTCTTAAATCCACAAATACTTCACCAAAGACAAGACCCTTAAAAATTCCATTAGCAAGAGTCATTTTTGAAGAAGATCGACTTTATGTAAACTGCCATTTATATAACTAGTATTCCCTTCATATTTCTAATCAAAATTAAATAGACTCCCATCATCTGCTGTTCTGATGCAAATGGAATCATTTTCCTTGATCCAAAGTCCAATTTCCTTGTTTTCGTTTTTGCAATTGCATTTCAGTTGCTTAGCTACAGATGATTATTTATCGAACCAAGGAAAAAAAGAAATTTTACTAGGCTCACACTGGATCGCCCTAACTACTAGGATTCGTTTATTCTTTGTATATTAATAGCTTCAAAAAAAAAAATGCATTATCTAAGATCCCATTTTGAATTATATTTTTAAGAAATTTTGTTTTAAAATGTTTTTTTATTGAGTTATTGTTAAAATTAGAATAACATTGGTTGGTATTCGCAAGATTTTAAAAAAGTGCAAAGGCTGGTGAGATATCATATAGCCTGAAGAAATGTTATCTATATTAGGTTCTTCTTAGTAAAATTAAACTACATAATAGGAAAATATGAATAGATAATAACTGCGATATCCAACTCCTTATGAAAAAAAGTAGAGTTAACAGGTATGTATTTTAATTTCCCTAAAATTCATTAAAATGACAAGACTTTTAAAGTTGTGTGATTATATGAATGAAGTTTGACATGCTTTGAGAGCCTGAGGGTTTCTTGGACGAAGATGAATTTATAGCGCTTGGCAGACAACAAGAGATACCTAAGCTTGAATGAAGGAAAGTATCAATAGCTGTCTGACCACGTCTAGGAAGGAGATTTTCAAATGGACAACAAAATCTTGATGGAGGAAGGGAAGGTTAATCGTTGTGCTGCTTTACGAAATCAAACAAGCTATTTACTATGTCACGACAACTTTAAACAGAAAAAGACATCGAACCCGTTTTTTTCTTTCCTTCTTTTCCGTTCAACTTTTGCCCTTTTTTATTCTAAAAATTAAGTTAATTAATTGGAATAGGAAAAAGATGTAGTGCCGAGTCGAGAGAACAGATTTTCGTATCTTAGTTACTGGAAGATTCACTCACATACATTTGAGACGAAAATAAGACCATGCTTACATTTTGTACATCTTAATTTTATTCAGAAAGAGAAAGAAAATCAATTTACAAAGAATAATGTTCTTGAATGGTTTAACGAACGAAAATCCATAAGTCCATTAAGATTTATGACTTTGAAATGGCTTCCAAATTGTTGCAAATAATTAAAAAAGTGAAATTAATGTATTTTATAACTATCGATAAAATGTATCGTTATGTTTTGTTAGAGTTTTGTCACGAGAGCAGTAGCAGTAGCAGTAGCAGTAGCAGTAGCAGTAGCAGTAGCAGTAGCAGTAGCAGTAGCAATAGTGGATGGCAGTAACAGCAGTAGGAGCAGAAGCAATAGCAGCAGCAGTAGCAGACTGCTAGGATGGAAGTTTTTCACGTATCGCTGGATCGAAGAAGTTGACAGCAAATAGCAATTCCGAGGTTAAATAAAAAAAAACTAGGTTGAGTTTGCATTGCAATACAATATGGGGGCGTTTAGGTGATGAATAGACGCCATTTTGCTGGAAATATGTCCCCTAGAGAGGCCCCAAAATACACTGCAATGCTTATTCGACTCTGTTTCCCTCAACCTTGGTTGATTGAACCTTACGAATTTAAAATCTTAATATTCCCAGAAGATGAAGGCCTTATCGGAAACCAAGCTGCCGGCTTAACATTAACGTCTAGTCTGAAAAATCTATTGAAAGATTACTTTTGATAACTATCTCCATTTGTTTTAGCTGTTTAAATTAAAAAGAAAAGACATCATGGGCTGAATAATGAATAAAGCTTCCATGGCAACCTGTTGTCGCGTCATGAATGCCCTACTTGATTTAAAAATAAAACTCCAAGTTAAAATAAAAACGTGATAAATAAATTATATTACAATTTCCTTGATAATAATTATTGTACTCATCGAATGAAACTCATACAAAATAAGTTAAGAATCTGAGATAAATAATGACGGTACAAACCGTCGGTGTTGTTGCTGAAATAAAGATGAAGGGTGTAATCATAGTAATTAAGAATACACTGATGTTAATGCAACTTTAAGTGTGGTTTTTGACTTTGAATTTTTTTCAAAAGAATAATTTATCGAAAAACTCGGATCGAAAAACTTCAACTTCAAGTTATTTCAAAAACCTGAAACAACCTCTTGGATTATCTTCAGGCTATACTCATACGAATTTCAATTTATCAGTCATGTATTGAGTATATATGCACAACAGGGCCACTTATTTTAAGTATGTGAACGGGAACAGTTGCCGTAGGAAGGAAGAAAGGGTGTAGGGGATCATAGTACCTTATAAACAAACTTTATCAGAGCAATATCTTAGAGAAAACACTGCATAACCAAGTAAGAGTATTCAAAACTGTTGTCAGTATACATTTGCAGGGCACGGCAGCATTTACAGTTATTGGAGGGAGGGGGGGTTCGAAGGATTTTGGTGTAGATCACGTTTTCTAGATAACTACATGGGGGTACAGCCAAAAATCGAAGCGGAGATCACGTGATCATGCAAAGCTCTATTGACAACGGTTCACTTATAAGTGAGACTGGGATACCTTGGTGCAATAATATTTTAAGTCAATCACTTCTTTCTTTACTAAAACCACAACTTTATTTTATCTTTAACAACTTTCAAGTTGGGTTACATTACATGACATGACATCTATTTATAAATATTAGTACTATTAAATTATCTGCTTTATATGAGCTACTTATGTTTTACTGGTAAATATATTTTCCAACTATGTATGCCTATGTAATATATAATATGTATAAATATGTCTTAGCTATACGTCATAAGGATAGTGGACCAAATCTATTTTTTGTTCCACTACAACGTCTGTCTAAAACTGACATCCGTCTTACTCACAATACGTCGTTTATCTTTTCAATTATCCAGTCAGTTTGGTGAGACTTTGGATGCTAAAAAACCTAAAAATTATGAAATAAAAATATCTAGTATAACTATCTAAACGACTTATAAATATCAAGGCATAGCCTTAGTTTTGAGACTCTTTGAACAGAATTCTGTACGCCAGGCACAGCCGGAGCAAATTTGGGATGACTGTGAAAAACGTACCATGAACGTGACGGTACTGCGTCCCAGCATTTTGATTCGTAACCTTTTTTTTGTTTTGTTTTGTTTTCCGAGCGCTACGATTGGTTCAAAGTATATAATCAATTTCGTAGGCGCTATTGGGTACTACATTTGGCGTTTCACAGTCAAATACAATATTCTCCATCCTGGACTTTACGTTTGAGACGTTCTCCCAAACATGCAATTTTAACATGGCTGCCGTCACGTGAATCACACCGTTGAAACTTTGCAAAAGTCTCGTCTAGCGGCCAAGACATTCAACGCACCAATTTGCAATTGTGTTCTAATAAACTTAGCAGAAGTCATACAACTCTGAGACAACTTAGCCTCCTCCGATGGGTACCCCATATATTCTCTCTTAAAATCCCCGTGTTAACTTTTATGGCAGAAAAAAACTAGAAACGAGAGAGGAGGAGGAGTGGGGACACAGGAAGTCCAAGCAGCAAAAAAGAGGCAAGGAGATGCCTGCGGATGAGGATAAGACAGCTTGCGAAACGTTTATATGCTAGTTAAAAGTGTTCGCAGTATAGTTTTAACAAACGTAAATGGTAAAATTAGAATAGAGGCTTGGTACCACCTTGACAGGAGGCGCAACAATATACGGCCTTTTCCTCCTGGGAAAATGAATTCTTTTTCGTGTAAATTAAACCAGACTCAATTGTTCCTGCCTCCTGTCATGGCTGCCATCACGTGGTGGTGCAAAGCCTCTAAAGGGGGTGTGGAATGTACCTAAGGATTAATAATTTAGAAATTTTATCTGAGTCTATTGTGGTTAAGGGATATACATACCAGATCCAAGGGAAATACATACTATAGTTATCCCTATATATACATATATGTTTTTGCAGTATGATAGAGTTTTGTAAGTCTACGGTCTACTTAGGTCCACTGAACTTACTAATTTGTGCAAATTTGTGCAATTTGTGCGAAGATCTTACAAAGTTTTTCACGGATGTATGGTATGCGCTCTAACAATAGACACTTTTACAGAGTTTAGTGTCTATACTGCACCCTCCCTTTTACCCAGATCCCATTTCTTAGTATCTAACCCCCCTGGATCTGACCTTAAACCTAAATTATTCGAATGTGTTATCGTAGCAGCAAAGTCGATAAAAACACAGAAACTAAAATTGTAAGATTCAATGTACGAGATGTACAAGCTCTGCTCTCAGAAGATGTCGTTTGCTTGTCGTGCGTACCTCGTGTATCGGATGGTTTCTCCGGGTCTTTGCCATTGTGACAGAAGGGGTTGAAATCCCCGTATAAGAATCGAACTGCATCCTGCATGCTATCATCCAGGGTGCAGTGAGATATGGTCATGTTTCTCGCACACCTTTTAACCTCTGCGTAATCCCTGTAACAAAGCAAATGAAGTCTAATAAAAATTTCGGTCGATGGATGGATGAATGGATGAATGGAGGGAGGAGGGAGGAGGAAAGAGGGAGGAGGGAGGGAGGGATGGATAGATGGATGGATGAATGGAGGGAGGGACGGAGGGAGGGAGGGAGGGAGGGATGGATGGATGGATG